TTGCACCTCCCCTCCGAGTAAACCTGGCGCATTGCACCTCCCCTCCGAGTAAACCTGGCGCATTGCACCTCCCCTCCGAGTAAACCTGGCGCATTGCACCTCCCCTCCGAGTAAACCTGGCGCATTGCACCTCCCCTCCGAGTAAACCTGGCGCATTGCACCTCCCCTCCGAGTAAACCTGGCGCATTGCACCTCCCCTCCGAGTAAACCTGGCGCATTGCACCTCCCCTCCGAGTAAACCTGGCGCATTGCACCTCCCCTCCGAGTAAACCTGGCGCATTGCACCTCCCCTCCGAGTAAACCTGGCGCATTGCACCTCCCCTCCGAGTAAACCTGGCGCATTGCACCTCCCCTCCGAGTAAACCTGGCGCATTGCACCTCCCCTCCGAGTAAACCTGGCGCATTGCACCTCCCCTCCGAGTAAACCTGGCGCATTGCACCTCCCCTCCGAGTAAACCTGGCGCATTGCACCTCCCCTCCGAGTAAACCTGGCGCATTGCACCTCCCCTCCGAGTAAACCTGGCGCATTGCACCTCCCCTCCGAGTAAACCTGGCGCATTGCACCTCCCCTCCGAGTAAACCTGGCGCATTGCACCTCCCCTCCGAGTAAACCTAGCGCATTGCAAATACCTTGCTAACATACCTCCATTCAAGAGATGACTTTGCAGCACTGAATGGAACTGCTGGTGTCATGATGTATCTTGCAGACCTCATTGGGCCAGCAGGGGTGGTGAATAAGATTGACTTTACATCCTGTGAATATGTTCTCGATGTTAGTGCCTTCAGAGCCACATTCAACTTCTGTTTCACAGTGTCCCCAACTTTTCTCACAAGTGAAACAACAGTTCTCAGCTTTTTAGGCTCCCTTTGTGTATCTATAAGTTCCTGTTCTTTAGAATCTCGTTTTCGTTTGAAGATGTTCATCCTATTTACTGTGAACATAAAGACACAAGTTAGTTTTGCTTAAGGATAATTCTTGATCCGAATATTTCTAATTATAATTAAAAGTAGAATTTGGGCCATTAAGCGCTTTCAGTAATCTTTCAATTAAAATAAATTTTAGTCTGGGGATCAAATTGAATAAATCAGACAAACCAATAGGTTTTTACTATTAGTCAAACTCTTGGGATTGTGATGTCCAGCTGAGCAAGGTTTGTGCAAGAGAATGATTGATCGATCAAAATTGAAAACGCTCGTTCAGTGTCCGTAAGCGGAGAGTTCACTGTGTGAGCGATCAGTTCATAAAAGGCCCTTTCTTTTCTCGTGGCTAGATTTTCCGTGCAAAAATGCCAATGCATATCAACTTGCTAGCTAAAATTGGGCTTCACTTTCCTCTAAGATATTGTGACAACTTCACTAGATGGCTCCGTCCAACTGACAACGGGAACGACTCAAAATTTCGATCCATTGATCCCGAGATCGGTGTGTTTAAAATATTAACACACACACATACACACACACACATCTACAAATGAATCAAAATCTCCAGTTTTTGGAAAAAAAAAAAAAACTAACCTCTGATCTGTTTGTATTTACCTGCTTCTACAGTACATTTAAAAATCCCACTCGATGGTTGAATCGGTAGTCACGTGGCTTAAAATCATGAGATCGAGGATCAGTATCCCAAGTGCATTGGGGCGAAACAATATTGACACTACCCATTTTCCATGTTTGACAGATTGCATTGGAGACTTCTTGATAAATGAAAACAACCTCTTCCCTAAGTTCACCGACACGAAGATCGCCTAAGACAAGTTCAGCGTTTGAGTGGAAGTTTTAGGGATTGTCTGAAGGAATTTGTGTGTTGATAGTTGGTGCAGAGTAGCAAAATTTAGCTTTGACAGCCGACCGTGCCTCTTCGTTGACGACGAAAACACAACACGGAAGAACCATTTGGCCAACTCATCCACCAATTTTGTGGTTGAACAGCTCTTTGATACGTGAGTAGTCATTTCTTTTGAATTTTATTTGCCATGTTGCCCTCTTTGTCCTTCCTATCTTAGCCTAAATATCCAAAAAGCTCAGTATCGCCTTAAACTTCAAAATTTTGTTTGTGTCCGTCTAAATGTAGCGCGACATCTTTCAAATTCCAAATTTTTCTCGACCGCCATTCACGGATGCCGTGTCAATAGCGGCAGTCTAAAACCTGGGAAGCTCTACAGCGGGTACTAGGTCAGTTTTCCCGCAAGCCCCAACATGCCTACCGATAGGATATTTAAGAGCATGTACCCAGAATGAAATAATCAATAAAGTTCCAGTTCAGACTCCTGGTGCCTTCCGTTTTCGCGTAATGTCCTAGCTGGTTAACCTCAACAGTCCAACACTTGCCTACAGGTCGTGCTACAGTATCACTCCAGGAGCTTGTTCGGCATCTTTGTTGTTTTGGTTATATACACGTCACAGTCATGTCTAAAATACCTAAATCTTATTAGACGTTTTGTTGTGTAGTATCGCTGATTATTATATGGCTGTGTCTCACCGAATTCACGAATTTGATTGGCTGAAATCAATATCGAAAGCGGTCTAGATTTTCCCATCTATATACACCTTTATCACTTAGCGCCATCTTGGATTGCGTGAAGCACCAAATCGAGGCTGGACGGGCATAAAGTTTGTGTTACACTAGTGTTTACAGTGGGGATATATGACAAGTGAGCATGGCTCAGGATCATTGCTCTGTTAACTTCTGTACAAATGACAAGAGAAATCAGAGGAGCGAGAATTTATCTTTTTTCAACTTTCCTTCAAATTCTTTATTGACATCGAAATGGATTGCCGCTATAAAGCGAGATGAAGGGCTAGATTTTGAGATAAGAATCCGGAGCTGTGACTGGCGAGTTGTCAGACGCGCGTATTACTAGCGACCGAAGTTTTGCTTTCGATTGAAAACAAAGCCACTACACGTTTTGCGAAATACCTACTTTTTTCGTATCCAGAACACTAGTCATTTAAGGAATCTACTAGTCTTTTACTTTTGGCTCAAGCTGTCAAACGCTCATGGCAATATTTTGTTTGTTTTTATTAACTCGGATTTTGTAATATGTATTAAATGAGATTCTCCGGCCCTCGTTTATTCGCGTTATAATGAAAAATAAAACTTGAATTACAACAAACTTGAACTACACGACAGAAAATTACTAAAAACTGCCCGAAATTAAAACACTAAAATTTTACTCAAATATCATTTATTAGTAGTACGTAAGGCGAGGTTTAAATCAAGATGGTCAAATAAATATCTGCAAGCTCCACGGCTCTTCATTCTTCCGCTGTGACTTGTAGCTTCGAGCTCTCACGACGACTCCTGTGTCTAGTGTTTTCACTGAAAGGAAAGGTGCGAACGCGGATGTGTAACAACGTGGACACGCTACGAGTCATGGTTTCTAAAGCTTCATTTCATCACTTTTTTACTTCGTTGGAAGTTTTTGATTAACGAATCCGGGCATAAATAAAAGATAAGAACAATACGATATCTGTAAAAATGGTATGAATGGCGTGAATCACCCAACTGTTCGAATGAAATATTTCCATCTTCATCCAGACTTGAGGCATCAACAACAACCTCAGAACAACTCGTCGATATCAAAGATGTAGCCTTCGTAGAAATTGCTGTAACCACGGGTTATTACTTTCTTTGGGACCTTTACATCTTTCTCGAGCCATTTCTCGACGAGTTGAATCAAAATAAGGAATATTCTTAAGAGATTTCGACCACGTAACAGAAGCTACTCTCTCAGCCATAGTGAATTGTATAGAAATATGCCAAACACGCGAAACACAATGCCCGTCCAGCCTCGATTTGGTACGGCACGGAATCCAAAACGGTGCTGCGTGATAAGGGTGTATTGTTCGCCCTTTGTCGCCAGTCGGTTAATCCCATTCACACCCTCCTTTATGTCACCTCTTTCAATCATAATCCTCTTTACCAAACTTTCGTCCTCTCTCGCTTCTTTTTGTGATTTACGTCTTCTCCTCAATTCTCACCGGTCGCCTTTGTTTTCGGAAGCGTTCATCAACTTCTGCTTGCTTGTACGTGTACCACCTGCATCCTGCGCCTTAAGCAGCACGACGGGTTGACCGGCCCAGTTTGTAACTTCTTGGATAATGTGCTCTAAAATGTGAAATAGGGCCTGTTTGAGGTACTCTNAAAGGTAAAAGCTGAGCATCCTAGGCGAGTCTGACTGGTAACAGGTGAAAAATAATTATCAATTGGTCGGGTTGGATCTATATGTCCATGAAGACTTTAAAGAAAAATATGAGATCGAAATACTCCAACCAATAGTTAAGTGGTAATAGTTTAAGCCTAACAAGACGATCCTTATAGGATAGGGTACTATTTCTAACAATAAAATGTGTGGCTCTTCTCTGTACCCTTTCTACTAAGAGTAAATTACTAATACTAGACTGAGGTGCCCACAGCTGAGAACAATAACAAAAATGGGAACGCACTAAGGAGCAGTAAAGTCGCAAAAGTGGTCCCTCACCAACCAACCCTGCACAATTTCGTTTAAGAAAACCTAGAAGCCTATTTTCTTAAGCAACTATCATAAGTAACTGTTCTTTCCAGGAGGTGTCCTTTGCAATCATAATCCCCAAATCATTTTCAGTTGAGGCAACCTCCAAATCTATACCATTTAAATTACTTGTATAGCTACGATGGGGGCTGATGCGTTTTCTAGATATACGTAGATTACTGCACTTTTTAGGCTGAAAATACAATTCATTTGCTAACGACCAATCATAGAGCGAGTGCAAGTCCTCTTGCAAATCGTTACAATCATTTATATTATTTATAATCTTATGACATTTAGAATCATCAGCAAACATAGCCAGAAACGCACTCTCAACTACAGTGGGCATTTCATTAACATACAATAAAAATAGAAATAGGTCTTAATAAAGACCCTTGAGGGACACCAGGTCCAACAGCAGTCCATTTACTTGAAGTTCCATTTATAATCACTTTCTGATGCCTTTCAGTTAGGTATGAGTAGAACCAAGAGAGTAAAGGGTTATCAATTCCAAAAGCTTTCAGTTTAGACAATAGTTTTGCTGGGCACACAGTATCAAAAGCCTTTGCAAAGTCAAGATAGATAACGTCAGATTCTAACCCACGGTCCAAAGCTTACCATTGTCGGAGAATACTTCAATGAGCTGGCTGACACATGAATTCCCTTTTCTAAAACCATGTTGAAAAGGATACAACATATCTTTAACAAGAGGGACAAGTCGAATAGCTACGTATCGCTCCTGGACTTTAGATATTACTGGAAGTAGAGACACGGGTCGATAGTTTTCAACCAGCTCTTTTTTCCCTTTTTTGAAGATGGGAGGAACGTTCGCTTTTTTCCAATCTGACAGTTGAATGCCGTTGTTTAGACCGAAGTTCATGATCGCTGTTATGGATGGCGCAAGAGATTCAGCACACTCTTTCAAAACAATGGTGGGTAATTTGTCGTGACCAATTGCTTTATTAGTATCCAAAGTACGAAGGATGTCCAGCGTTTCGTCAACTGACACTACGACATGGGATAAACGTTCAGTAACGCCTGGGAGAACCGGTACATCGAGATCAATTTCACAGTTTGAATGATCCTTATAGATCGATCTGAAAAAGTCATTAAAAGCTTCAGCACGCGCACGATCATCAGAGAATAAGACTCCATTATGGGTTACTTTATCGGGAATTGGCTTCCTTTTACATTTATATTGGCTTCCTTTTTACATTTATAGGAAAAGAATGACCAAAAGCGCATCGTAGACGTATGGATTTCATCTGATATCTCTTTGATATACCTCTTCCTTTCATGACGAAGTCGATGATCTGTTGCCTAAGCTTGCGGAATTTTTCCATTCGTTGAGTATTCTTAGAGTTTCTAATACGACGCCATAAGGTCTTCTTATTGATATCCCTTGCTAATTCCTTTGATATCCATGGTGGACGATTGGAGCGTTTATTTTGAACCCTAGGGACATTAAGTGTCAATAGCAGCAAAGATATAATCATTCCACAAATCCCAAAGAGAGTCAAAATCTTCTATTTTCCTGACGCTATGAAGACCATTGCTGAGTGGAGTTAACCAAAGAGCTCGATTTAGAGACTCCGTATCTGCATTTTTGAAGTCAAAACGCTTTGAGCGAGGAATGTCATTAAACTTCACATTCACAACAAAATCGAACAGGAAAAACAAAACACAGGAAAATGATCAGAAGAAAGTCCGATGTCTTTATACTGCGGTCCAGTTTTAGTAGGCTCCATAAAGTAGGGAGTGTTTGTCAATATGAGGTCCAGGATGTTGTTACCTCTTGTAGGTATTCAACGAATGGAAATAAATATAAATCCACTAGCAGATTTGCAAAAGTAGAATCGCAAACTAGACCCTTCGATCCACTGTATACCAGGAAAATTAAAATCACCCACAACAATAACAGAGTAGTACTGGTCAAAATCCAAGGATCTTAGAAAACCAGAAAATTCATCAGTAAATTGTTGATAATCATCGAGAGGGCGATAGCAATTTACGAGTAGAACACTGCGATCGTACTTGAAATTAGACACTTCTGCAACCACCATTTCCAAGTTAGAAAACTCTAAGGAAACGTCTTGTCGATTTCAGGAGAGTGAGCTTTTGATAGCTGTCATAACTCCACCGCCAACTCTACCAACTCGATCACGTGGATAGATAGTATACCCAGTCGGTAGTGTCTCATGATCCATGATAGATTCCTTTAGCCATGTCTCAGTGAGGCATATAACGTCAAGATCTAGTCCATAAACGGTATCGTGCAAACTTCCAAGTTTCGATTCAAAGGACGATCCCTTCGCGGCCATGAGGGCTCTTAGACTTCTGACATTTTACATAAAGCAGCTTAATAGCTTTTGTTGAGGTCCAGGATTTGGCAAAATGTCGCCACAACGCAATAAGATCAGTCTTTCAACTGAAATCGCTAAGCATAGGTCGCCATGCTTAACCATCTTCACTACAGCTTTGTGTAATTTCCTCGAACCTTCCGACCTCACTACGACTTTTTCACTAGTGAATTGAGGATAGTTAAGAGATCATGATGTAAAAAACCAAGCTCCTGCTTTAAGATGAAAAAGACTACCAAGTACAAGCTCAAAAAGAAGAAGAAAGGGAGACGCTTAACAAACACGTCTGCCGCCATCTTGATCCCGATATGATTGATAAGAACTAAGTATTTTTACGGGTTGTGCCGTATTTTGACGAGCCCCTAGGGCGAGTCAAAATACAAACAACGACTAAAAATACTCAGCCATACTACACAACAAAACGTCCAATAAGAGCTTTATTATCTAACACGCCAAATTGTTATTTCAGTGCGGGCGAATTTCGCGAATATTTCTTGAGTACAAATATCGTGTGATATTTGTACTCGTCTCGCGCGTTATTTGTACTCTACGAAGCACAGTTGGAGAATAAATGTCATTCATCTTCGTCCCCGCTTCCGGATGGAAATGTTCACATTGGATGAAAATTTCCAGGAGTTGAATTTTCTACTCTAGATGTTTTATAACACCTTGTGACATCAGAGCTCGACACTAACTTTTTAACTTACCAGTGAAGTGGCTAGTGACAACTTAGACGTTACAACAATTTCAGTTTGTTTACTAGCAAAATTGGCTGATGGAAATCGAAAACCGCTCGCCAAAACCGAATTTCTACTAGTCTGTGGCTAGTTGGCTACCGTTAGTGTCGAGCCCTGGACCTTACGATATGATTTTGCATCCATGTCATGTTCTTGTAAACTTAATTAATTGTTTCGCGAGCTTCGCATTTTCTAAATGAAACTATCTTCACTTTAAAAGTTCAGAATATGCTTCAAAATATTGGTCAAACTATAAACGTCTTAATATTTTATTGTTTGTTTCTGTGGTTGTTGAGCGATGAACTGGATTAGTTACCGACATACAGGACAATGAGAAGTTAGTATCTCACCGAGGAACTCCATCAAATATAGAGGAGCAATAACTTGGAATAGCCTTTCCAGAAAAGAATCTTCGGTAAATAACTTAAACCAATTTAAGCGTCTACTTTCAAAATTTGACACTAAAAAAATAAATTTCGATCTAATTGCCGCTTTGATCAATTGTAAAGACGATGATTATATTTATTTTTAGGATTTTAAATTCACAGTCTTAGTACATAGCATATTATCTAAACATAATTCTAGGTTCATAATTAAATTTTAATGCTTATTTTTATTTGTAAATACACGACCCCACCAGCTCTGCTGAATACTCCATTGTGTTTAAATAAAGTGTTCACTTCACTGACAAGGCAGGATATGATAAGGAATGAACGGTTATAGAGGAGCGTCATCCAGAGAGTGCTTAAAGATTTTGTAATCATGAACATTATATCTAGTGCAGGACGGCTTTTATCGACTGTTGAACGACAGAGGTGCGGGAATTGAACCGAATTCAGCAAAAACACACTCGTTGATGCAACGATCAAAATCGTTTATTGTACGTCAACAATTTCAACATTTTTAAACCTTCTCGTGAGAGGAGACTCCCAGAGCTTAACTCCGCTCCTCCTGAGGGAAGGCGATCACTGCTGCTTTTAGTAGTGCAGGATTAAACAAGTTTCCCATAGAGAGCCTTTGATGTTGTCCTCAAAGGTAGACTTATAACAGTTGAATTGAATTTTCCCATTAGATGGATCCCAGCATGGAAGGAATTGCCGCTCCCGCTGAGGCAGAAAGTGCCAAATCGTCGGAATCCACACCTGACCCTGAAAAAGAGACAAATAAGAGACGCAAGAAGAAGAAGAAGAAGAAGAAGAAGGAGGAAGAAATGGTCAGTGATGCCCTCGGGAATGAAGCTGAAATTGGTGAATCGTCTAAAAAGGCGTCAGAAAATGAAGATCAAGAAGAAGATGCAAATAAAAGTTTTGATTTAGAAGACAAGATTACTCTAGCGAAAGAAAGCGAGGAACATGACATCCAGCTCAGTGAAACAGCAAGCAAAAAGAAGAAGAAGAAGAAGAAGAAGAAGAAGAAAAGTAAAAAGGACAGTTTGGTCCCTGAGGTGAATTTGAATCCTGAGAATAATAAAAATGACAACGAGGATATGTCTAGTACCCTAAAGAAAGTCGATCCCAAGTCTAGCTTTGTGGAGGAAGGCATTAAAGATCCAGCTGTAGTGGAAAGTGACGGGCAAGAAGCTGGGGAAGATGGTCATCCACCAACAGAACGTAGAGATGTTTTGAGTGGGGACACTAGGCGAGACAGTGGTGAGGAATTCAGTGACAAAAACGAAGAGTCAAAACCAGCTGGAAGAGACGAGAAACTCGCCCTTGTTTCAGTTGAAGAGAGTGGAAGGTCAACTCCTGAAGCCGTGACAGAAAGAGAGACAGCTGAATCAGCAGCAGCAGCAGCAACAACAACAACAACAACAACAACAACAACAACAACAACAACAACAACAACAACTGCTAATGGGGCAGTCAGTGACCCTGTTGTAGATAGTGCTTCTATAGACTTGCCTTTGGAAGACGATGAGAAGTCTGATACTGAAGACGACTCATACCATGTGCCATTAGATAATGAGGGGTGAGTACCTATGCACTAGATAAATGTAAAGCCTAACACCGCAGTGCGAAATTTGAAGTAACGGTAATGGCTGAAATGACAAATAATCTGCCTTGGTAGAGGGGTAAGAAAGTTTTGTTATCAAAAACTATTCACTTACCGGGTGACGGAAGGCAAATTTGTGTAGGCACAGTGGGGAAGTGGTTAAACTCCACGACAAAATGGAGATTCAGAACTCAGGCACTTTTGCCCTCTTTCAGTTCAAGATAAAAGCTGAAGAAAAAATTCAACAACTGACTCAAAGTTCATCCCATCATCCTTACTTTGTAATTTGGATATATCAACAAAGTTGAAGTGGTAAATTGGCCACCGTAACGATTACAAAAGTTGACGTTTCGAGCGGTAGCCCTTCGTCGGAGCGAATAGAGGAATTGTGGGTTGTGTGTGCTTTTAAAGGCAGAGAATGGAGCTACGTTATTGGTGGGAACATGGCAACGAGAAAAACAAGAATAAATTAGTGGAGTGAAAATTTCATTCCTTTTTCTCAGTTTCGAAGACTTCGTCGTTTATGCAGTGATGACTCCGATTTCCACCACAAATCAGAGTCAATGTGCCAGTTTTCCGATAAACGTGGTTNAAAAAGGAATGAAATTTTCACTCCACTAATTTATTCTTGTTTTTCTCGTTGCCATGTTCCCACCAATAACGTAGCTCCATTCTCTGCCTTTAAAAGCACATACAACCCACAATTCCTCTATTCGCTCCGACGAAGGGCTATTGCTCGAAACGTCAGCTTTTGTAATGAATCGCTACGATGGCCAATTTACCACTTCAACTTTGTTTATATATCCAAATTATTTCGTTACTCCCACCGACGCAGCCCCAAACAGTTTCTTTCGAAACTATCATCCTTTATCCTTACTTTGTGATTGATAGAATTTTGAATTGTATCTTGATTCTGTCTGCAGGAGAAACGTATTGTGTGTTTACAAGCTTATTTATGGAGTTGGTCTCGAAGCTCTTAGAAATTTGTTCATGGACATCAATCCAACTTGGTCCAATCAGCCATCTGATGCAGCAGCATTCGATAAAGGGAAGATGAAACTTACTAAAGATGAAGAAGTCAGTTTCAAAAAGGGAAATATCCATGAATGGGATTTCTCACTGATCACAAACAGTCTTCTTTTTTCGAACGCTTGTGCTCCGGAGGTGAACCGCAGACCAGGCTGTGACACTGCCCTGAAGGAATTAAAGAAGTGTCGTAATAAATTGCTAGGCCATCCCTCTACAGACAAGATGTCCGATGCACACTTCAACCACTACTGGCCTCTTCTTTCAACCCACTTAAGTACAGTTGGTGCTGATCCGAATGCGATAGCCGAAATAAAGTTCCAGTCAGGTAGTGCGTCTTTTATCCTGCCTCATTGCTATCAAATATTTATTAGTTGATTTGTATATAATTTCTCGCGACAAACAATCCTTCAAGCTTCGATTCACTACCATCCGCGCTTCCCATTTTCAAAACATGTAAAGATTGATTTTTCCGTTCCTTGTCGATCGAAACAGATCTCTTGGAACTCAAACTTAGAAGAAAATAATGTAGATGATGCCGAATTTCAGAAAAATTGGAATCAAAGCCTTAGCATCGACAAAATGAGCTTTCGAATTCAGTGTTCTTTGTATTCCTAGAATGGATATGAATTGGCAGGAAATTTAGACCAAACTTTCTGGATCATTGCAAGGCCTCTTAAGTATTAATTTTATGTGTTGGTATGGCTTAAATCTATTGTTAAACTGACGACTTTGTGTTAATAATTTTCAAGACTTCAAACGCAAAGCTGTAGAACATTCTGGTCGAGGTTCTGCGAGTTTCGTGCGCGCAAGATATTCTTATGCTTTAAACACGAAGGCGCGCTATATAACGAAGTTTTCCCTGGGAAGACCTAGGCTCATTTGTAACTCACCGTTGACGTGTGCGGGTCAAATTTTAGTGGTGGTAGACGAACAAAAGGAGGTAATGAGATATCTATTGTTTACTTCTACCAGCATGGTGGAATGAGGTAACGTGCGAACCACCTACTTCGATCTCAAATTTACCGCCACAAATAAAGACAGTTTCCATTGGAGAAATGAAATACAAATCTCAAAAATTCTTATATTGTGATGAAGACATAAAACAATTTTGAGGAATGCGCCCGCTGTTCACTGCTTTGGAGTAGCTGTAGCTTAAGCTGACTTGACTCTAAGAGTTCTACATCACGCGACGGTTGATTGACAAATGGTCCAGTGGGACCGAAGGCTCCTTTTATAGCGCGCCTTCGTGTTTAAGCCTCTTACAGCAAATGTGAAGCTCATTGAAAAAAAGACTTCTACAAATTATTCTACATTTAAAAAAAAAATTTGTGGTGTGCTCAATTACTTTTCTAGATGAAGTCCTTAATGCTGGAGGACACTACAAGGAGTTGTATTTGACAGAACGAGCGAAATTTAATCCTTTGGAAAAGAAGCTGGATGAGTTAACGAGCAAGTTCGAAACCTTTGTTGCTGATTATTCCAATAATTCTACCGACAAAACTCCCATTAGTCCAAGAGAACTTAGTGGCCCTAACTGGGATGAATTTTTGAAGTTTTGCGACGCGGTTGGTGACTTTGACACACGCAAGAACCAGTACATTCTTGTTACCGACGCTCTCTCGCGAGATAATCTCGGATACTTTTCCATTTTGAGAAGTATACCCTGGAAGATGGTGGTAGATTTCGATCCCATGTCAGAAGAGAAAGGGTTGTATCACTCCTTTATTTCAGAGGAAGGACAAGGTAGTCTAGTGAGCATGACTACACCAGCAGAGGTCAAGGGAAGTTCCATTGTAAGCCTTGCACGTCAGATTGATCCCAGTAAAACGCAATGGTTGTTTGTCAAAGGAAGATCAAGTGACACGGATGGTAAGATACAGAGTTTTCCTGAGTGGGAATCATCTTCTGTCAAAGACATTTCAAGATTTTTTGGATGTTGTTGTGATCCGGACAAGTTTGACAGACAGAAGCCCGTGGTGTGCCTTATTCTTCCATATTGCCAAGAAAGTGCACCATATCTGGAAGTAACACTGAGTCGACTCTTCGAGAACTTTGATGATCAGTTCAGCTTGCGAACAGTATCTCTTAAGCAAGAGAAAAGCTTATCAGTTTTTAACAAGGTCAAAGTACGAAGAGTACAGCTATGCCCAAGGCTTGTCCATCTGGGTTTGAAAGAGATGCTTTCTTCATCTGCAAAGCAACAGTTTCGAATGCCCACCTCCCAAGCCAAGGTTTACGTAGAACTAACAGAGAAAGAGTTCCTTTACTTGAATGAACATCTTGATATTCTGTATGAAGGCTGCGAAGGCTTACCAGACAGCTCAAATGACCCGTTAGATGATGATTTACAGATAAGAAACTTTCTAGAGGAGCACAGGAAACTCTTTATGTCGGGAAATCAAATTTCATTTGCAAGTCTTTATGACAACCATGATGCCAAGAGAGAAATTGAAAAGGGCATTCAGATCCATGTCCAGCGTGTTTTAGACAATGGACTTACACGATCAATGATGGTGGTTATTAAGCACTTGCCAGGTACTGGAGGCACCACTATTGCTCGCCGCGTGATGTGGGACCTTCACAAAGCGTACCCATGTGCTTTCGCGGACTTAACTTCTCATATGTACTTCGAAGAAGACAGCAGTTACGCCAGGAAACTTGCTGATCGGATTGCCGCGTTGGAAGAAATCTGCCAAACTTCCCCCGTTATTCTGGTTGATGGAAAGCAATCAGGGTCAATCGAAAGCATCGCTAACAAAACTATAAGGATACTAGGTAACTTAGGAAAGCGAGCCCTTCTCTTGTGTTGCCAACACGGTTCGAAGACCTCAACGAAGGAACCTCAAGAACTATCTTGTGTCCATAATGTGTTTTACGTCGATGCCAAGCTCGAAGACTCAGTGGCTGATCTGAATGAATTTGATTCAAAATACAAGGAATTTATAGAGAGGTCCCTAGCCGAGAAGCCCGTTTCAGGACCTTGTCGAGTGTTTCATTTTCCTCTCCTGGCAATGATGCAAGAATTTCGACCCAAGCTGAAGAAGATAGTCGAAGATACATGGAACGAGATGGAAAATCTTCAACAGCAAATTGCCATTGTGGTAGCTTTCCTTCAGAAGTATGCCAACCAGCCGACACCATCGTTACTCCTCTATGATGCTTTCAAGAGCTACATTCGTCTGGAATGTGGCAAAACTGTCACATACAGCGACATTAAGCACCTGTTCTCAGAGCATTTACTGAACTTGATGGTACCCTCGAACCCTTGGCTACGTCGAAGAAAGTTGTTCCATTCCATGGAACCATCCCCTCAAAGTTATACATTTCAACATCACTTGGTGGCGGAGATGTTGGTGAAAAAGTGTCTGCAGGAGCAAGGCTGTGATTTGTTTCAAGTGGTGAATCAATTTCTTCAATTTCCGATTTATAAGCGTGACAACATTGAGTTCCTGAAACTTTTTGAAGGGCTTTTCCTCTACAACAAGGACTGTCAGAAGAAGCTGAAGTTTTCGCTTCTTTTTGAGGAGCTTAAAAGCATCAACCCGGAACGAGCTGGAGAAGTGTTTTGCGAAGCAGCAGAAAAGACTGGTCACTCAGCCATATTCTCCCACGCAGGACGTTTTTTTGCCAAGCTGGAACCCCCCGCGTTTCAAGAGGCAATGAAGCTAATAGATCAAGCCTTTCAAGTCAATACTTCTGGCTCCAGACCAGCATTCAGAAGCATTTGTTATACCAAGGGGGTAGTACTTTACATTCAGCTGAAACACATGATTTCCAATGGCAAAGTTAAAGATCTGAATGCTCTCGAGGAGCAGGCAAGCAAGGCCTTAGAGGCTTATAAACAAGCTCGCGGCTTTCCCCTTAATTCTCCAAAAACCTTAATTAGTGAGGTAGAGGTATGGCTTGCATGCCTTGGATGGATCATGAGAATCTACTGCAAGAGGGATTCTGAGAAAACCATCAAGTTTCTAGCCAATCAGTGTCCCTCGTTCTTTCGCACCTGTGTGAGTGACTCGTTTTATCTTCTTGACGTCGCTGACAGAATCATTCAAAGTGAGCCAAACCTAAATGAACCAGAGGAAACTCAAAGATGGTGTAACAGTGCTAGGCTTGCTCTAATGAAGTCGTTTGGTACTAGTTCTTCTTCAACCGGGCGTGGACGAGACGCAGAAGATGTAGTTCAAGCTTGTAAGGCACTTTGCAGCGCTAAAAACTTTCCAAGGACTTCTACGTTAGAGTTAAAAAAGCTGCAGGCCCATTTCATTTTGAATTCTAGTGATCAGATCGAATCTCTAAAGCAAGAACATCTTGAATTTTTGCTTAAACTGTTAGAGGAAATTGTGCTTCAGGAACATCAGTACCGCTTGGCCTACCACTTAATGAAGGTCTGTGTACTGGTATCAGGACCTCGGCGTTACAGCCTCGAACAAGGCATCAATGTTTGCGACAAGTGGCTGGAGGTTGCTAATCACGGTTGTCTTCCTTACTTCTATCAAATGGCCATCCTTTTCTTAAAGATCCTTGACGGTCACGTAATCGAATTCATGCCGAAGTACCTGAAAGCCTTGAAAATGTGCCGAGAGAAGTCACAGAACCACTGTCGCAGTAGCCAGTCAACGTTGTTTGTGAGTAAAGAAGGGGAAGGAATGCCGCGCCTTGTTACTCGCAGTACCTTGTTCCGTGGTGAAACGGACTATTCAACCGATTTTTCCGAGACGGTCACAAGGTTCTGGCTCGTCGGTAGTAGAAAGAAATTGCTTGAATGCAAAGGTAGGATCCGTGTAGAACCATCCTCTGATAGGGGAAAAAAGTATCCCTACATCGAATTGCCACAAGGAAACGTGGCCCTCTACGTGGGAAAGAATGCAGATATTGGTAAAGTGGACAGGGATTTCACCAAAGGACAGCTGGTATATTTTGTTGTTAGTTTCAACCTTCAGGGTCCAGTTGCAAACGGAATAACCTTCACCCCACACCAACCTTCTCCTCGCTAGAAGTACATACCGACAAAGGTAAACTTGCAAGCTGCTTATGATATTCGAAAAGAACTGTCATTTTTGGATGGAAGCAAGTCACTGCTAATTTAGTTTTGTTAAATAGCTCAAACACGATTCAGATAAAAAGAAAAACTTTTATATCTTCTCTACGGTTTACATTTGATGAATTGTAAAAATTAGGATTTCATAAATGAAAACTACCAAGTTTATGTTGTTAATCGTCTAAGACATTAACTGGACTATAAATAGTCTAAGATTTAAACATGTCATGTAAATGTCTGATGTAAACATTTTTAGGAATGCCCTGCGTTTCTTGACTTGAGAAGCAAGTACATTTGCTAAAAGGGTCTCATTTACTTTTTTGTTCTCTTTCAGTGCAATACTGGTTTTTCTTGTTTGGGTTCGTATCTACTTTTTGTATTAGTTGCTTTTAGTAGTGTTGGGTGTCAAGCTAAATACCGCCGTCTTAAAGCAAGATGCGGCTCTTAAGATAGAGGCGGATAACTATTATCTTATCATAGGGATACAGACAAACACTGCTTGGAGGCAGTAGTGCATTGACTCTGGCTTTTTTGTTTGTGTAAGAGGTAGCGGTAAAACTGCTTCTCATAATAATTATGGTTAACTTGTTATTTTAATAGGAACTAATTCGCAGATTTTTGATATAAAGCACTGCAAAACAGAGTGCTGAAATGGAGGCAATGAATTAGTTGAGTGGTGTGGAGCATTGATTTCTGATAATCATTTTTAACGCGGGTTGATATTAAGAGCTTGTGAATAAACACTAACATCGTGATATGTAGTCTCCTTTGGAGCGTGCCTTGATACTGATTGTTTGACCAGTTCAATGGCAACATGTCGGGACGTGAGCTAGTTAATTTGCTCCTTCCCCCCCCCCCCCCGTCGTTGGGCGAGGAAGGATAACACTGGCGAATAGGCTCGCTTTTGTGGTGAAAAAATAAAGTTTATTGCAAACGTTAACGAAAAAGGGCTATCGAAACGAATGGCGACTCCTTTCAAATTTTCCCTTCATCGTACTTTAACGTGCGTTCAGCCTGAGGCACAACTTGTTAACCCTTAGCGCCTTGCCCCTGGCTTGTACTTCGAATTCAAACACTTTTAAGTGTTCTAATTCTAAGTACAAGCCAGGGGCAATTATCCAATAATGCGCACATGGTTTGCACACCGAATGCGAAATTCCTAACCAAAAAAAATTGCCTTTGGATTTCAAATCATAGTTTTACGGACAGAGATATGTTTATATCAAGATTTTACAACCTGTTTCTAATCTCTTGGTTTAAAAATTTAAAAAAACTCTCAGCATTGACCAGAGAAAGTTCGATGGCCCAATTCCATAGTATGTATTGTACTCGGTTGAAGATCTTCTAACCGCATCTAAGAGAGGCTGCAAAGTATTTTCTGGTTAGATTAACGCCTCCGTGATTAGTGCTTTTTAGATAAAAAATCATAGTTAGCGTTTCAGTTCAGGATAAGACCGCGTGTAATCAAGATCCTTTTTGGAACAGAAGACAAGTTTAGACCGTAATATTCTCGATGAAGTAATTAAGACCCGCGGAAGTTGTTGACCGCTTCGATATAAGAACGCCTTAAGGACTAGAAAAGGAATAAAGAAAGAAAGATCCTATATTGGGTTGACGCTCTATCGCATGCGCTTGTATCAACCGAGGAATTGAGATTCAATTTTCGCTTAAAAAGAAACGTTTATTGATCTCATTGCATATCTAGGCCACCCTGATATTGCGCAGGATCAATATCGAGATGGAATTTTCATTACCCTCACCGGGCCATTCGATTTGATTGGGTGCCCGCACTCAGCGGGAGTTACTCATCACGGGCGACGAGCGGGGCAAGAAATTTGATCCGAGATATGAGTGGTCAGCGGTAAAATAGCTTAAATAAATCACGTGGAGACAAATCATTTGTAGTTGTTGTATTCAATAGTCGCAGTATCAATCCTGAAATGTTAACAATAAACTTTACTAAATAACAAGTTACTGGTAAGCAATTTTTCAAAAACGTCGACTATACAAATATCTTTCACTGCTCTAATAAGCAACGAAAGCATCGGGACAGGCATCAAAAAATTATATTTTTGTTTGGTAACTTTCCACGCATGAAGCTACAGAAACCGGAGTTAAGCACCGGCCTAATGGGCCTCTAGGCTCGTAAACAGACTTTACCTTTTAACTTGCTACGCAACGAAAAGAAAGGATCGTGATTTCGGTGGTCCACGGCGTTAATCACAGATGGTGTGCTTTTCACTTGATTTTTGCAATCTCTACATTTTTAATTTCCGGAAAATGAAAGCTAGGGAACTCCACAAAATTGAGTTCTCGATCTGAATGATTTTTGAGTCTATAATAAGTTTGTATCCACAGGCTATGATGAAAAACTTTCATAACAAAAATTCTACTCACTAGCTGAAGTTCTCTTACTTTATATTCAACAATTGCCTCCATTGCATGTGAAAATATAAATATACGAGGACGAAAACTCAGAGCTTCAAGAAACAGCCAAATTAAGGCTAATGTGTTTATCATCCCTCAAATGTTGCTAATGAAGGCCGCTCGTTTTAGGAGACCTGTGTAAGAAATGTTTTGACTGCGTGACCTGTTGTGTTACAGCTTTAATAATCGTTACTTTTGCTTTCATGTTGCTAAGTGATTGAAGGATCGAATTTCGAATCATGAGATAGCAGATGAGCTTTTAGAGGCACGTAGGGAGTAGCTGTTAAGATTATTAAAAACGTTTAATTCTACAACGCGAGTCTTCAGTGTCACAGGGAATTGGGGCCGGCAATTAGATTCCCCACACCTGTTCTCAGAACAACCGTAAGTTAAAATAATTATGTTTTCCGTTGAAAATTTTTCTTTCTATTTACTTTAACAGATGCACACGGGATTAAAACTAAACGTTCGAATCGAACAAAAATAAAACATTTTGAATTCTGGGATGTTCTTCAAATTGTTGGCTCCATCGCGTTACGATTTTGGACCAGTGACACTCCCGAATATATATTTTGATTGATTACCAAGAACTGTATCCTGGTAGATTAAGGTCTAAACATGACATTAAAGTCCACTTGATCTGAAAAGAAGCCGCCCTAACGGCGGGTGAAACGTTGTGTAAGCGTCTTTACGAAAGGCACATTCAGACAACTTGAGTGGAAAAACTGGCCACAGCTATCGCACCCAAGCCAATCCGAATGCGGAGATTCATTCTTGTTTCGTTAAAAATAAATGAGAGTCACGTGATTTAGTACATCGATTGACAGTTAAGCTTTGTACTTTACATCACATTTCAGTCAGTAAATCAACTTCAAAAGCAAGGGCCTAGAGTAAGTTGCTAACCCGCAACAAGCCTTTAAGCTAACCTGAAGCCAACGGCCCGCCACAGAAGTAAGTAAAATATGATTGTCAAGTTATATTTTTGAGCTATTTTCGAGTGAAATCATTGTATGAGAATTTAGTTATACATAGATACAAACGATTTTGTATTGTCCTTTTGCCAGATCGAATAATTGCAATATCGTCTCAATAAATAACAATCCATCACGAGCGTCAGGTAAACAGAAGTTCAAATATTCGAAAAGGCTGGTTGCTATGGAGTGACGCCATAAACCGGCTAAGTTTCCATCATCGCCTTGACAGCCTTTTTCGATAATTGCTTACAGTAATCTGAGTAATTGCTTGAATTTGTACAATATATGGAAACCTAGCACACAACACTAGCTACTCAAATGATACAATACATATGACAAAGAAACTTTCTCAGTTATCTGACCTGATGCCACGAGTTGCAAACCTTCAGTTAAGTGATGGATAAAACTCTTGTTATAATGGATTGTTTCCTTTTTGAATAAAAGAATTGCTTTTCAACAGACCGTTTCGTCCCAATTCATTTTCACATCCATTTTATTTTTAATTTTTTTCCCTCTCCTGTACTAGTGTCCCATTTCAGTGCTCTGGTATTATGTTTATTACTAGTGACATTTCTTCCACACTGGTTAATTCCTCAGTCATCATCTTCCTTCTTCTCATTATGCAGCATGTACCTGTGATTACATCATAGAGGTTAATTCTAATACATGTAAAAGATTATGAGCAGATTACAAGATTATCTGTGTTCAAAAAAGCACTGCTATACTTTTGTATCTGCTGTACATTAAGGGTTTTGGAGGTAATAATTTCAGTAAGTTTATGGAAATTTAACAAGGTATCAACCATGCAGAGCACTTTATTAGGCCTATGCAACAAATTATCACATGCATGTATAAGGTCAATGTGGAGAAATAAATAATAATGCACAAAAAACCAAGACAAAAAAAAACATCAAAAACAAACAGGAAGAAGGAAGGCATGTACAGGAGAGTTTTTGAAAGGTAACTAGGGCAGCTGAATTGTACTAAAGCCCCATTTCTAGTTTATGAGTTTTTTATTTGTTCTGAATCTTACCTCTGGTGGTATTGTAATTGGCTAGCTCCCTCCACCAGTTTTAAACTCTTGATGATGGCTCTCTGTGACCTTGATGGTGCTATCTAAAACATAGTAAGACTGGTTCCTGCAGGATTCAAAATGAAAATGTGTATTGATGTCAGAATTTATTAATTAGTATAATCGTAAAGTGAATTCTGAATATCAAATTTGACACCCTGTTAACCAATGGCATGTTTAGAAATATGAAAGGTTTGGTGCTTTTCAAACTCTGTGTACACGCAGACCTTCTGATGAGCAGGTTGCTTAGTACCTAACTAGTAAATAAATTACAATAATCATGGTAATATTTAATTTATATTGCACAATTGCCAGTGATGCCCAATTGTGCTTTACAGTGTACATCACATATTAAATTAAATTAAAATATGAAAAATTGAAGAAAAATTACATTTACAAGCTTAAAGAAAATCTCTAAAAGGTAAAACGTCTTAAGAATGCATCCTAATGAGGAACTATTCTCAGGCTAAATGAAACAAAAGGGAATTCCTAAGTTGTAGCTTTAACATTCAAGGTCAAGAATCTAGTACAAATTATATTGATTGCTGTAGTTGTTCCCTCCCTCCCTGAGTTTATCATGCTGAAGCTGACATAGGCTCTAGCAAGGGGGATCACCTGTCCTGTGAGTTAAGACCCGACCAATCAAAAATGCATAGAAGACCTACTGCCATTCAAGAGATGACTTTGCAGCACTAAATGGTTGAGTGGGGGTCATGATGTACCTTGCTGACTGCAATGGGCCAGCAGGTGTTGTAAAGAGGAAAGAATTCACATCATGTTGATAGGTGCATCCTGTGAGTGCTTTAAAAGCAATGTTTATTTTCTGTTTCACACTACTCCCAGCTTTCTTGATCAGTGATACAATATTTCTCAGTTTTTTTGTTTCTCTTTCTGTCTCTGCATCAATCTGCTCCTGATCATTGGGATCTTGTTTACATTTAAAGAAGTTCATCCTGAACAATTATGACACAATGGAATACCTAGCATGTTAGTAATGCTGTGTGAAAAGTTAAGGCTGATTGCATTTTAAATTCAAATGCTTACAGCAAAGCTTTATCCTTCATGAAAGAGCTATGGCACTATATTACTGGTATGCTACAGAAATAAAGTATTTGAAAAATCAGTTTTTCACGAATATCTAAATCCCTGTAAAACCATTGTCATAAGTTTTATTTCAGAGCTATATTCAATAAGAAAACTATTTCAAAGGTGCTAAGGCCTCTTAATATATTTTTAGGACACTCCAGCTGGCTGAAGAGAAAGAAAGAGGCTCTTCCTCTTGCTCTTTTCCCCTCGCCATCTCCTCAACACAAACTCAAGGCCTTCATCTGCAACTTTTCACCAATAACTAGACAGGTTATTATTCAGATTATGAAAAAAACACTTGCAAAAATTTCATCAGTATGTAAATGTGCATTGAAATGGTCTAAAATATCTAAATTGATCATTTACGAGTAACACTGAATTATTTCTCATATAAAACATTCATCGATTTCTGAGATTTGCATCACAAAAAGAAAGCTGAACCCCAGGAATATTCTCAGCTAGCGAATAGGAGCTCGACTCTAAAAGATCAGGAAAAGTTGTGCCCACGAATGAGATTGACATCTTTTCGATCTCAGAGCGCGCAATATTTCCACAACAGTGATCAAGACGTCATTTTCTCTTTCAAAAGCCAGACAGGAACAAGATCTCGAGAATTCTTCACAAAAACTTGTAAAAGTAAGTTATTGATGGACACAGAAGTCGTACTCTTCATCTGTTGATCAACAAAATTTAAAACTCCCACTTCAGCAACGCGTCTGGATCCAACGATGACACGGAGTTGAGGTCTTACCCAGGTCTCTGTGCATGCAGAATATATGGCCGTACCCCCCCACGGGTCGTCGCTTCTACTGACCGATGACACAACAGAGAGTCCCTTCTGTTGCGGAATTTCGTTTTATTCTGTAGACTCATGGGTTTTTTGTACAGAAAATTGTTAGAGGTGACAATACTCTAGAAGGTTCTATTTTTAGTGCGGTCCAGGAGACCGTGCTTTGACCAAAAACACGGCCGAGTTATAAAGAAAGCGGAGGTGGTGCGGAAGCAATATGGATGTCGCTTTGGTAAGTTTTAGTGTTCTATTCGATGAATTTAGTGGATTATCTTTCGTCCATTCGACTAAAAAAAGCGTCATAAGAGCTTGCTATTGATGGAAGACGAATGGTTTAATCCGAGACTCGCGAGATGCTACAAACCCAATAAAAAAATCCGAGATCAAGACTAAACATAGCTAAACATGTATAAACTCGAAGTTATGAAATGGTTCAGTAATGATAGGAAAATGATGTGTTATAGTTGTGTTACTCTAAACCTGATCTTTCAGTGTGATATTTGGGGTACTCAAGACTCTACATCGCACTGTTCACATTTCAAAACGTTGACTGAACATTCACAGAATTTTTGGGCTTACAAAAATACTGCTCCAGTGATATTTTGAACAAGACCCTTGCCTGCAATGTCAAATCCAAGACTTCAAGAACTTGGAGAGATGTGTACGTAAGAGTTAGAGACCGAAATAAAATGCCCCATCAGAAGTAGGACTTAAAGATCAACTCTTGGAAAAGGCTCTCAATCCGAACTCGAAGTTCGTGTTCGGATTCGGAGAAATTGGGAGGGCCACGATATTTTAAGATACCATTCGCTGCCTCTGAATCTGATTTATTCTAGTACATCGGGTTATGTTTGAATATACTGTTTTAAACAACAACAAACATATGAAACATATGTGTGAACTGCGGTTATGAGACGTATATGAGAACGATCCTTCGCAGTAAAGCACTATTTGAGCAATAGTGAAAATCAGACCTGAAAAAAATTTCAGGCCTGTACGGGACTCGAAGGTCAGTGGTTCNGAACCACTGACCTTCGAGTCCCGTACAGGCCTGAAATTTTTTTCAGGTCTGATTTTCACTATTGCTCAAATAGTGCTTTACTGCGAAGGATCGTTCTCATATACATACTGTTTTAAGTTAGTTCATGAATAAAAATAGCGCTTATCGAAAACTGATGCAGAGATAAATTTTGAAATCGTCTCGCTTTTTTTTAGAAACGCGGAAGTATTATGTAAATATTTACAATGGAGGAAACGTTGAACGATAACCCGTTGACAGACGAATATCAAACAGCGGATAATGAAGGTAGCTATGCGTATATTTTAACGCATCTTTCCTTGGGCCATCGCTTGTTATTAATGTTCTAACGAATATAATTAAAAATGTTTGATTCCTTTGTAAATTTGATCGAGTGCTTTTCATTTTGCAAATTAAATGGCAGACGATCAGGATGAAACCAAGAACACTGATTCTGGCCACAGAAAGAGGAAAAAGAACAAGAACAAGAAGAAACGTAAATCTACAGCAGTTGCTTCAGTGATGGGTGAGAGCTGTAGTGAAAATGTACCGAGTAGTTCAAGCAAAGATCAGCCTCCTAATCCTACTGATCATCACTTGGCAAAGGCTGAAGTCGAAACAACATGGCCACGTAAAGATTCTTCCGTACAATTTGACAGTACGCTCTCACCAGCTTTCAAGGAAGGGGAAGGCGACTCTAATCAGGAAGGTAGCTCTAGTAACAAGAAAACAAAGAGAAAGAAAAAGAAAAAGAAGAAGAAACCTGAAGGGGCTGATTCTGATAAATGCCTCGCAGATGTTGACCCAGTTAATTTACAAGAGCCAGTTCACGAAATACGCGATAAGCATGAAGAGTTAGAGTATGCAAAGAAGGAAGATGTAGCTCTAGAGGTCGTCTCACATCAACTCTTGCTGACCCCTTTGGATGAGCAACATCTAACTAATTACCAGAATCCAAACGCAGAGGAAGCAAGCTTTGTCTATGCTAATTCCACTGTGACGAATCAAAAGAAAGAGGAAACGAGAAAAGGAAACGAAGAAGGGAACCCGCAATCAGGTCGTGAAAATGAAGCTGGCCTGGTAAAAGGCACAACTGCAGCAACTGCGGGTGAATTGAATATTGAAAAAGACCATTTGAAAGCATTCCCATTACGTGAACCTAAAGAACCAGCCTTATTAAGTGACTCAGCCGAGCCAATTCAGGAAACTAATGAAGGAAATACAAGACAAGCAAATCGCGAAGAGTAAGAAGCTTCAGTCTTTAACGTGCTGTTTATAACACAAATTAAAGTCGCTGAGTATTTTTATTCAATTTTGATCTGTCTCCAACATTTTGGCCCATGATAACAGCTAAGAATTCTAACTTGTGAAGTTGATGGTACTTGGAAATTTTGAAGGAAGCCCTAAACGTTATATGATTTAAGTGTTGTTTCTTGGCCTCTCTGGCTTTCATTTCTATCCCTATTGTGAGCCAGTTCTCAAGTGAATTTTAATGTTTGTTTAATGTTTGTTCAGGACAACGATATAGCCATCACCAAAAGGGGCTTCAAACATGTGATAATTCAAGTTCTTGTGCATGTGGTTTAGGTTAGAGCATATAAGGTAAATAGCCCAAGAAACGGAAAATATCATTTTATAGCAACCTTAGTATGACATTTCTGCCTAAGGCACATTTTTTTTCAATGCATCAGGTCTTTGAGCCAGGACAATAGCAACCATATTTGATTTGAAAGATTAACCAGTGTTAAATCTTTTGAGGTGGAGAAGGGTGGCGGGAGAAAATAAAAGGGAACCTCATTTTCTCTTAGTGCAATTCATTACTATTCTTCTTGGGTACCCCCTTTGAGCCCTCAAACAAAGTGAAACACTAACCTTACTTGAGATTTGTATGGTTATATTAGGAGGAACATTATGTGCATTTTCAAGCTTGTCTACGGAGTTGGTCTGAGAGCACTTCGCAATTTGTTCATGGATATCAATCCCCTGTGGACAAATGAACCATCGGATGCTGCTGGGGTCGACAGAGGGAAGATGAAACTCACCAAAGAGGAAGAGGCAAGCTTCAATAAAGGAGACATAAAAGAATGGGACTTTTCATTGATGACAAAAGTACTTCTCAACTCGAGGAGATGTGCATTAGAAATAAGTAAAAGACCTGACTACACCCGTGCTTTGCAGGAATTGAGAATTGCCCGAAACAGATTCCTCGGACATCCTTCCACAGAGTTAATGTCCGATGACGATTTCAATACCTTATGGCCTCATTTATCAAGTAACTTTGTCGTTCTTGGTGCTAATGAAAGTGATGTCGCAGACATAATTCACCAGTCAGGTACTTCCATGCAACATACTGCTAAAGTACTGTTTATGAACACAATAACTATTTTCCCCAACCTTTTTGTAGCTGTAATCCCATTAATTTTTTCCTTAGAAAGAGACTGGATACGTAAACGATTAAAAAGGGGGTAAGAGGCAATCCCGTTTCACCCTCCAAGGTCCGGCTGACAAATGATGCAAATGCTTTATCATCCTTAAGAAAATCACTTGTGCAAATTGACAATTTACAGGCCCCTGTACTAACGGTGTCTGTGGTTTGGCGTGTCGGCTTTTCTTCTCGTCGATATAGCCAATTTAATCAGGGATCATCTTTTATCAAACAAAATCTCTCACGCTTTTTTTCCAAGGTCCTGTGTTCTATTTTGCCAAGCGTGCAGCTACAACACTAAAATGACCTATTGAGTTATGGATGCACGCAGGAGGTTGCTAAGCACGAAAGAAGCGCAAGAGTCACGCTACGCGATAGCCGAGAGCAACTCTGGCTTCTTGAGTGCTTAGCAAACCTCCCAAGTGCATCCATAGCTTAGTAGTGTATACTGTGGTGTTTACCATTTGTTTTATAACATAGCATTGATACATTGTAGCAAAAGGGATTTCTTTTATTTGACAAATCTTACGTGACCAGAAAAAACAAGCGCGTGCGGAAAACTAGTCTTTGCATTTGCTCACGTCAGCAGCGTACACCCACGGGCAAATGGTGGACGCTGAATTGACCAATCGGAGAGTGCGCTTTACTTTGGTTATGTTATAATTACAGATGAGGTTCTTTACTCTGGAGAATGCTACAAGCAGTTGTTCTTGACGGAACACGCATGGTTCGTTAATCACGAGAAGAAGCTGGATACAATGGACGTCAAACTTGGAGCGATGGACAAAAAACTGGATATAATTATTGCACAGCAACCACCTAAGAGTCTCGCTAAAGCTGCTGCCAGTCCCAAAGATCTAAGTGGTCCCAACTGGGATGAGTATCTGAAATTCTGTGACATGGTCGGGAATTTCGAATCTCACCAAAACCAATACATCCTTGTGACGGACTCCCTTCCATCTGAAGATCTGGAGCACTTTTCAATTTTGAGAGGTGTAACGTGGAAAATGGTGTTGGATTTTGACCCCATGTCTGAAGAGAAAGGATTCTATCATGAATTTACGTCAAAGGAAGGGCAAAGCAACTTGGTTACCATGATAACTCCTGCAGAGCTGAGGAAAAGCTCCATGGGAAGTCTGCTTCGTCAACTCGATCCTCAGAAGACGCAATGGCTTTTCGTCAATGGAAGGCAAAGTGACACCGAGGGAAGTGCACAGTTGTTTCCGGATTGGGAGGCTACTTCAGTAAAACATATCAGTAGGCTGTTTGGATGTTATTCTGACCCTGACAAGTTTGACAAGCAAAAGCCTATCGTATGCGTCATCCTCCCATTTCGCGAGAAGAGTCTACCCTTCTTGGAGGTAACATTGAGTCGCCTCATCGAAAACTTTGACGAATTCAAGGTGCAATTTGTTTCGTTTAAGCACAAGTTCTGCCACCTGATCTCACGAAAGTTTGAGGTTCGACATTTTGATTTAACCCCACAACTTGTTAGTCTGGGACTCTCAGAAATGCTCAGCGCTTCAGCAACTCAAGAATATCGCATGCCCTCTTCGCAAGCTGGCATTTCTGCAAGACTCACCCAGAATGAGTTCCTGTACCTCAAAGAACACCTTCAAGTCCTTTATGATGGATGTGAAGACCTCCCAGAATTCTCACATGATCAAGCGGAAACGCAAAATTTTTTCGAAGAACACAGAAAGTCCTTTATTTCAGGAAATCTTATCTCACTTGTTAGTCTTTACGACAATCACGATGCAAGAAGACAAATTGAGACGGATATTCGAAACCACGTTCAACGTCTCCTCGATCAAGGTTTGACACGATCAGTGATTGTAGAAATTAGACACTCACCTGGTACAGGTGGCTCCACTATAGCGCGTCGTGTTATGTGGGACCTTCACAGAACCTACCCCTGTGCAATTCTGGAAATAATGACTTCTCGCTATTATTTCGATGAAGACAACATGTTATCCACCAAATTTGCTGACCGCATTTCAGCATTAGAGGAACTTTGCCATACGTCGCCTTTGATCCTAATTGACGGAAAACACTCTGGATTGATTGAAGCTCTTTCAAACAAACTCGTACGAATGCTCTGCAACAAAGGTAAACGAGCCCTGTTATTACGCTGTAAACATGGATCAAAGTCAACCAAAAAGGCAACCCAGGAGTCTTCTCATGTTCACCATGTATTTGATGTGAACGTTAAGCTTGAGGATTCGCTCTCTGATCTAAACGAGTTTCAATCCAAGTACAAAGAATACATTGCTCAGTCGTTAAGTGGGAATCAAGGGCAGAAGCTGTGCCGTGTCTTTCATTTCCCCCTACTTGCCATGATGGAAGAGTTTCAGCCCAAGCTAAAAGGGATAATTGAAGACACTCTGGACGAAATGGGAGGCATCCAACAAGAAATAGCAATGGTCGTGGCTTTCTTGCAAAAATACGCAAATCATGTAACACCAGCCCTCCTCCTGTATGAAGCATTTAAAGGGTACATTCGCGTCTCCAGTGACACGCCTATTACCTATAAAGACATCAAACATCTGTTTACAGAGCACTTGCTCAATCTGATGGTGCCTACAGATCCTCCTAGGCCAAAGGAAGAAAAAGTATAACAGAGAAAGCGCCGCTCGAATGTTACACTCTTCAGCATCCGCTGGTTGCGGATTTGGTTCTGAAAAAGGTTTTACAGGTCCAGGAGTGTGATCTCTTTGGAATAGTGAACAAGTTCCTTCAGTTACCTATTTACCAGCACGAATGCTTCGTGCCCCTCTTTGAAGAGCTGTTTCTCCACAACAAGTATGGGCGAAAAATCAAGTTTTCAATTTTGTTTGAAGAGCTCAAGCGTATGGATTCAGAGCACGCGGCAAGAATCTTCTGTGAGG